TCATAGACTTTAAAAAAACAAATAGAGCTATACTGGAGAAAGTAAAACCGCAGTGTTCCTTGGAAGCAGATATGATAAAGCTTTGTCTCACACATTTCAGGCTTGTTGCTAGGAGAGGCTAATCCTTGGAGAAACACATCATGCTAGGAAGGGTAGAGGGTCAGCAAAGAGAGGAAGACCCACACCTAAATGGACTGACATAGTGACTGCTGCAGTGTGCTCAAGTGGCAAAAAAATGTGTTCATGTCACAGGACAGGACAGAATTCAGACCTGTTGTTCATAGAGCACTACAGATTATACTAGATGACACCTAACAACCACATAACATGCTGAAAGTAGATGAGACAAAGCTTTGTCTTTGTCTCACATCCTTGCTTCCAAGGAGCACTGGCTATACTTTCTCCAAGACATATGTTTGTTCTTTTGACAGTCCATGGGCTATTCAGTACTCTTCTCCAACACCACAGCTCAAAGGCATTGGTTTCTGTCATCTCTATTCATTGTCCAGCTCTCAAATGTATAGCTGGTGATTGAAATGACTGTGGCTTGAACCAGGTGCACTTTCGTCTTTAAACTGACATCATTACTTTTTAGCATTTTGGAGAGGTCTTTGACAGTAGATTTTTCCCAGGCAGCATGTCTTTTGATTTCGTGACTACTGTTGCCATGGCTGTTCATTATGGATCCAAGTAAAATGAAATAGTTATTTCTGTCATGAATTTGCTTATTGGCCCAGTGGTGAGGTTTTTTTATTTTCTTCATATTGAGGTCCAATACATACTGGAGAGTGTAGCCTTTCACCTTCTGTGGCAAGTATTTGAAGTCTTCCTCACTTTCAGCAAGCAAGGTTGTGTCTTGGCAATCTAACCCATTCTAAGGGTTACTATGAGCCAGAATTTACGTAGCAGCACAATTCAAAGTGTCTAAGATAGTAGTTCACTGGTAGAATGCTTGCTTTCCATGCATCGTGGAATTCAGGTTCAATTCCTGGCTAATGTACTACATCTGTAACCCAATAGCTTTATGTATCAGTGTGGCTTTGTGCTGCTGTGATGTTGAACAGTTTGTAGTGATGCTTCTAGACTAAGACAGATTACGAAGCAACTTTTTAAAATCAACCGAACAAAATCCTATGAGTCCCAATGGTCAGACCTCATCCTGAGGCTGGTACAGGCCTGAGTGGTGTTTTGTTGCATTGTGCGTGGGATTGCCTTGCGTCAGAGACTGACGAGGCAGCGGTTAATACCACCACCAATATAGAGCAGACTGGCCTCAAGCTGTCTAGTTCAAAATGTGTCAGTTAGATGTTACATCAACTGCTAATCCGCTGTCTCATTCTGACTAATGTTTGTTGTTGTTATTTGCTGTCAAGTTTCCTGCAACCTATAGTGACCCTGAGTACAGCATCTCTAAAGCCTGCCCTGTCCTGAGCCAGTCTCACTGACTCCAACATACTTATCCCCCATTGCCCCAGTTACTGTATCAATCCATCTCATCCAGGGTCTTCCTCTCCTGTGCTGTTTTTCCACCCTTCTGAGCATGATGTCATTCTCCAAGGACTGATCCGTCCTGGTGAGGTACCCAGAGTATTTGAGATGGAGCTTCAAAATCTTATCCTCCAAGGAAAAACTTGGTTTCACCCTCCGCCAAGACAGACCTATTTGTTTTCTTGGTGGTCTATGGTGTATGTTCAAGACTCTTCTCCAGCACCACAACTCAAAGGTATCGCTTCTTCTGTCATCCGTAGTCATTGTTCAGCTCACTGATGCATAGTAAATAATTGTGAAAACCATGGCCTGGATTAAGCACACCTTAGTCTCTAGATTAACATCATTGCTTTTCAGTATTCTGGAGAGGTCCCACACAGCAGATTTTCCCAGTGCAGTTTGTCTTTTTATTCCCAACTGCTGGTGCCTGTAGTGTTGATTGTGGACTCAAGCAAGTTGAGATTTTTAACAACCTCAATCTTTTCTTCATCTATCATCATGCTGCCACTTGGCCCAGTTGTGGGAATCTTTGTTTTCTGGATGCTTGCTTCAATCCATATTGAAGACTACAGTTCTTGTAGCACTTCAATTGCTTCAGATCCTCTTCAGTTTCTGCAAGCAAGGTTATCTGCATAACACAGGTTGTTGATGAGTCTTCGTCCAATTCTGATGCCACATTCCGCTTCATAAAGTCCATCTTCCTGAATGATTTGTTCTGCATATAGACTGAAAAAGGTACGGAGACAGGATGCATCCCTGATGCCCTCATATAGCCAACTTTATTTTCACACAAGCCGATTTTCATGGGGAACAATGCTGAATGTTTATTTTCATTTTGGTACAAATCTTTTTTATCTTGCTGCATTCTTGAATTCTGAGCAGCATTGGATTAACATGTTTCTTTGTTGCCTGGATGAGAATCAGTGAATGTTGAGGCTCTGTCATATTCAGGATCAGTTTGCTCAGAAGAAAACATGTCTTCCATTAGCAGACAGTATCTTTTTGGCTTTTTCTTCTGATATCAGTACAAATGCTGACCGATCCTAGACGTTTCTGTCCCCCTTTTCTCCTTCTTGGATCATTTTCAATTTTTGTCCATAGAGTCCTTCAGTATTGCAACTCAAGACTTGAATTTATTTTTTTGTTCTTTAAACTTGTGAAATACCAAGCAATTTCTTACCTTTTTAGTGTCTAACTTCAGCTCTTTGCACATTTTGTTATTCCTTAACTTGCAGAATGTAAACGTCACCAAAATATATATTAGAATTGGTGATTTTTGCTATGTATAGTCTCAACAATAACAATAAAAGAAAAACACTAAAATTCCATTTTTCAGCAGACAGATTGGCAGAATGTCTAAAGTTTGACCACATGCACGATAGTGAGGCCATGAAGATTGGACAGACTTGAGCAGTTATAATTGTAAGGAGAAGAATTTAGCAACATTTAATGACTTTACCTGTACATTTAGTTTTAACCCAGAATTCTTATTTCTAGGAATTTATAGTACCAAAAATAAAAGGTAATATGTGAAAAGTTACTGTCCACATTATTATTTATAATGTAAAAGATTAGAACCAACCCATATGCCCTTCAGTAGGAAACTAGATGAATAAATTGCAGTGCATTCACATAATGAAGTGTGATAGATTTATAAAGAGGGTGAGAATCAAGGATTAAGTGATGAAAGAAAGGTGAAGGAAAGTCCACTTAGCATGTTACAGTTTCGCTAATAGAGACAATATTTTTGTTTGTTTTTATGGAAAGATAAACCATATATATGGAGGATGCTAAAGAACTGACTCATCCTTTTTAATTTGAAAGAGAATCCAGCATGTATTCTGCAATTTTTAAATGAACTTTTCTTCAAGGTAACCTAATAGTTGATGGGAGGAGATGTTCTTTATAGAGGGATCCATACTAATAAACAGAGGAGAAATAATTGGATCAGAATACCATCATTTCACAGCATCCACTGAATTAATAAGCCTACGCCTTGAGTTACTGGACCGGAAAGAATTAAATTCAAGAGGTAACATATGAACAGGAACAAATGGTGATGAAGGAAGAAGGTCAAGCTGCATTGAAGGCATTGGCAAAAATATAAGGTGACAGGAATTAATGGGATACCAGTTGACATGTTTCAACAAACAGATGCAGCCCTGGATGCACTCATCTATACCAAAAAATCTGAAAGATCTGGCTTCTGACTGGAAGAAATTTATTTCCATTACCAAAAAGATAATCCAACAAAATGTGAAAATTTTCAAACAGTGTTATTGACATTGGGCCTCTTGAGGAGCAGCAGATCCTGTAGCCCTGGTGTGTGTCCACTTGCCGTACAGTGGTAACTTGTGGTTGCTGTGAGGCTGAACACTGTGACACTAATGTGTCAAATGCATTAACAGTTGATTACCCAGTGCGGACAGTGTGGGGTGGAGCTTCCCAATTAAAACAAGCTTGGAAGCAGGAGTGGCATCCACTTCCATAATAGCTTGCCTCCGGAAACCCTATGAACCTGGAGAGAGGATGAAAGACACACAAGCATGAGGACTCTCCTTCATAGGGTCGCTGTGAGTCGCCTGCAACTCGATGGCACTTAACAACAGCAACATCATTAATATTACTTGTAGGTAAAATCTTGCTGAAAATTATCCAGAAGTGACTTCCAGAAACTCAAGCTGGATTCAGAAGTGGTTGTGGAACAAGGGATATCATTGGTGATGTCAAATGAATCTTGGTTGAAACCAGTGCCATTAAGTCAGTTCCAGCTTGTATGAACCCTACATTGAGTTTCCAAGGTTGTAATTACTTTACATCAGAGGAGGACCTCCAATCCTGCTCCCTCAGATAACATGGTACATTTTTGACAGCCTACTTTTTTGTTAGCAGTATAACAAATGATGAACAATTCCACCAGGATTCCTTGTGTTAACAGCCTAGTGGGTGGTGTAGGTTACAGTCTTTTGAAACCAAACTAGAGGAAGTTCTAAGGACAGGTGATGTCAGTTTAGGAGAAGAGAAATGATTTATCAAAGACAGAGTTAGGGAAAACAAGGACCAAAAGCACAGTGTGGTTTCATGAATACATCAAATGGAAAGACTAGCAATGCCCAAAGCCGTAAGCAGAACCCTTAACTCCCAATCCCCACGTATTAAAAGATGAAATACAGAAGGATCTGTTTTGCTGTGTCAGTCATATCACTTAAAGGCCTCAGTGTTCTCATCTGAAAGTTGAAGGAAGAAATATTCAGAGGTGTCATTTTGCATTCTATTCTGGCGACCTGCAGCTCTGGGCTTGGAAGGGTTCTGAGATCATATCTAAGCTCAGCAAGAAAAATATCAGGCTTGCTGAACTGCTTCCAGAATGCAGGCTTAGAGGACGTGGCATATGATGTCAATAAACCCTAGAAGTGGACAGTTTGTTGAACTTTGTAACTCTTGTCTTTTCTATATTTTCTGTGTTTTTGGTCCTTAAGGGAAAATTCATCTCAACTATTTTGTTGTTGCAGGTATAAGGACAAGCAAGCCCATAATTACATCAAAGAAGTAAGTCTTGTTGAACTTTGGCTTTTGCTCAAAATTACAACTTAGGTCAAATCTGGTTTTAAGTAGCTGTTTCTGATGTAGCAATCAGATGTGTTAGGGTTTTGGTTGGTTTTGTTTTGTTGCTGTTCTTGCTGGGGTTTTTTTGTTGTTGTTGGGTTGGTTTTTGTTTTTTTTTTTTTGGAGTAGATGTGTCTTTCAAAATTATTTTGGAATTTAATGTGACTCACTTTCTATAATAAATGTATTTTTTAATAATGCTAAAGTAAGTCCTCTGCTAATTATTTTCCTTCCAAATTCCACAATGATCTGTCATGTGTATGCTTTCATGTAAGAGCTAAACTTTAGGACTAGTAACTCTCGCTGTCCTACTGGACTCAGGAGTCTTTCCTCTGACATTTTGTTTAAGCTCTTCCCTTTTCGTGGAGCATCTCTCTCCTTAGATACACACATCGGGGGAAACCAAAAACCCCCACTGGTTACTATCACCTCCATTGCAGTTCCTGACAGTTTCTCCTTAGGATTTTCTTGACTGTAATACAGAAGGAGCTGTGGTGGCGTAATGCTGCTAACCAAAAGGCATGCATTTGGAATCCACCAGTTGCTTTGTGGAGAAAAGGTGGACAGTTTCTTTCCATATGATTTACTGCCTCTGAAAACCTGCTGTAAGTTCAGCCATGAGTCCTGATAGCATGTAACTGCACTCCTTATGGAAGCACATCAGGCTTTCTCCTTGGCACTACTGCAGGGGTTTGAACTCCCAGCTACATTAGCAGGTGATTTTAAACTGTGTGAGCCACCAAGAACCTGATAGACACACATTTCCTGGTTAAACGCAGCTGTGTGGCCACCACAAAACAGAGGGCACTATATTGCCTAGGGTAAATTACTTGACTTTAGTGAAGAAAGTATCATATGCCCATTGCCACTTTTGGACTGTCAGGTTATTAAAAGCAAGCAGCATTCCTGGCTCATCCCTTTATCACTTTTTACAACTAAATGATCAGTTAATTCAGATCCTCATTGTCTTTGAGGTACTGTCCAAGTCTCACCTCTTTCATGTAGCCCCATGAAATAAATGAATTCTGCCATGATTTTTCTGTCTGGCGTCTGGCTTTTTTTTTTGGTTACCCCATAGCCAGAAGATTTACAGGTAACAGTAATATCAGAGAGAGTTCAGGGCATCTCTTGTCCTAGACCCCAGGCTGGGAACCAGGGATATGTGGTAAGTCTGTGGAACCCCATTCCAGGAAAGGCTGCCTACTGTATCTGCAGGGTGTGGCAAAAGCCAGATTCAAAAACAGCAGAAGCTGGCCTGTGAGAACGGTACCTGTTCCAGGCTCACAGAAAATATGCAACTCATTCTGGACATGCGAGATGGTCATCTAACTAAAGATTAATTCTTTGTTGTTCAGCATTTTTAAAAAATTGTGCTTTCAGTAAATTTACGGAAAGGTTGGGTTTTCATTCATTCATTCATTGTTAGACTTTTTCCTTCCTCCCACTCCCTAACCCCTCCCTCATGTTCAACAATTTTTTATCATCTTGAGAACTTTTTACTAAACATAATCCAGAATGCCTTTGTCATCTGAGTATTCAGAATAATCCAAGGATCTATCATTAGCATATAGCACTGAAAAGTATACTTTAACCTGTGGCATATTCACCAGTCAGAAGACCTTTAAGGAAATGAGACCTCCTCAGATGTCCTCCTTCTTCCTCAGGACCTGTGATGTCACTTTCTTCAGTGCTTAACAAATCTAACTGCCAGAGTTTCCTTTTTAAATCTCTCTGCTTGATACTTGATTACTTCACTGACTTACACGAGTGACATTTTTAATTGACTGTTGGTTTTCCTTGTTTGTGGGAACTTCTGCCAGTGACAAGGTAACAGACTTGACATGTGGCAACAGATAGGTTTGCTGCATAAAGTGGGAGTCAGAACTTCTGAGTGAATAATACAAAAACAGTTATACATGCACTTGGTGGTTGACCTTGAGTGATGTGAACCTGTCTGTAACCTTTTTTTTTTTATGTAACCCTTTCTTGAGGTGTGCATCAGGACTCCCTGGTAGACAGAGAAAGCTGGGACCTGTTACTGCTTCTAATACTGTGTGCCACCTTTTTGGTCTACCACACTCCCCTGTTTTTTCTAACTTTATGGCTTCCTCCTGCTTTCCCAGTGCTGCTTGGGATTTATCTTAGCAGGACTTGACAGAGATGTCGCCAGCTGATGAAAGCAAACTTGCTTCTTCCTGACATACCATCCTCTCAGTGGTCTATGTATGCTCTCCAGTGCATTCACCTCTTTCCAGAAACCTAGAACCATTGCCATACAGTGGTTTCTAGTCCATAGCAACCTACTATAACATTTCTAGAAAACTGGCTCTCTTTTTCTCAAATCCAGCTGGTGAACTCAAACCACTGACCTTTCACCACCAGAATTCCTACACTCCTGCCCTTACATGGAGGCTTTGCAGCCTCTGTCTGAGTGCACTTTCCTCGTGATCCTCCAAGATTGTCAGAAGTCAGGTATGCAGCTGTGATTCTGGCAGTGATGAGAAAGCAGACCAGAGAAGAGCTAGGTAGCTCCTCAGAATCACCTTGCAGAGCTGCCATTGATCTTTTGGGCTGCTCTCCTCACTTCACTGCCGAGCTCTCAAAGAGCAGTTAGTACAATGTATAATTTTATTCAATAAATATTACTTAGGGAGCTCTTATGACCAAATGGGTAAGGAATTGCTCTGCTAACTTAAGGCTAGTGGTTTGAATTCACTAGCTGCTTTCTGGAAAATGAAAGATAACCTGTTTACTGCTTCTAAAAACATGCTAGAGGTTCAGCTCTGCATTGGTTCTGACTCAGAGAGAATGTATTATTATATTTGTCATTTAAAAAAATGTACCATGTTTTAAGCTTCTCCTAAAGTTTCAAAATTTATATAATTGTTGCAGCTGGACTCTGTCAAGTTGCCCTCAAACCCGCAACAGTGGGGCAAAATGCTGCCTGATCCCATGCCATCCCTGTGATGAGTTGTGGATCAGACTACTGTGACCCATAAAATTTTCAGGAATATATTGTCAGACCTTTCTTACTAGTCCGTCTTAGTCTATATATTTATTAAGCAGTTACTTAATGCTAAACATTTTTTTCTCATCACTTTAATTTTTAGAACAGTCCATGAGATAGGTACAGGTGTCTCAGATTTGCATATATAGTACAGAGCCTCAGTGAAATGGGACCACATAGCCAAGCCTCGTATCTGCCTCCACCACTCAGCACAACAGACTGGAACATAAACCCATGTACACTCACTTGCAATTCCAGATCCTCTGCTGCTGAACCTTTAAGTCAATGCTTCTCTCGCCTTTTTTACTCAAGAAATTTGATGAATGTAGTGGATCTTGTCGCCCAAGTTTATGTTCAACTAAAGGAGGCTCTTAGACACATGAAGACTTCTTTTAACTATATGTGTCACTTGCCATGTGTCAGACAAGAGGGCAGCTTGTTATTTTTGCCTTGATTATATAAACGGTTAGATGCTTGTTCAAGTGGTGAAAAGAAGCAAATGTCTCTCAACCTTCAGTAAAACTACTGTGACTGTTTTGGAGTATGACCTTGCAGTCTTTTTCATAAGCGTTCTTGTCTCTTTTAAGTTGTCTTGAACTTTGGAGATTCTGTTTTTGTTACTACCCATCTGTCTGTTTTGCAGGTACCAGCAAGGTGTGGAATGGGCTGCCAAACTCCTTTGTAGACAGGGACAGGAGGAAAGCACTGTGTATAACATCTTACAGGAGTATACCAAGCCACTTAAACAACCTTCTTGGCATAAATGTGAAGAGGTTCCTTTTCAGGGTGAGCTCAACTATGAAGTGGATCCCAAAATGGAAGCTCCAGAAGGTAGAGAGGAGCTTCTTGTGTTCAACAGAGACACTAGAGTGTCTGATAGCTTGGAGGACCTGAACCAGCAAACTCACCGTCCATGGCAGGCTTCCAGGCAGAATATTGGAACTACAAATGGCTCCAGTGGACTTACAGTAGAGGATGCTGCGCCCTTGTCCCATAATCGGCACAGCCACCATGGTGATCTCATCATGCCTAACACTCAGCCAAAGGATGGATGGTGTGAAAGTGTCCCCTCTAGCAGAAAAAGCAGGCCTGGTGACAAGTACGTGCTTGTGGAGGAAGTGGTTAGTGGTGTGAGCACGGGAGAGGATGCACCGCATGAGGAAGTAGGTTAAAGAAAACACATCATTCACCTAAAACCATTTACTTCTGGCTCAGCTGAGATTTTGAGTAACTAGAATGTCCTTTGCTGGTGCCTGGGAGCAGGCATTTAGTAGCTGGTATGTTCCTGGGGGAGGGGATAAGTCTTGTGTATCACAGAAAGCATTCGTACATCATCACAGAAGCACTAGAAAGCAAAGTGAGAGCTTTATTAAGGGATTCCTGTACAGATAATTGTTAGTTGCCATCATGTTGGCCCCAACTCATTGTGACCCTGTGTCCAACAGAGCACAGCATTGCCTAGTTCTACGCCCCAACTCATGGTGACCTTGTGTACAACAGAGCGAAATGTTGCCTGGTCCCACACCACCTACAAAACCACTGGGAAGCGTGAGTCCATCATTGTGGCCTCTGTATTTTAAGTTCCTTCCAATATTGGGACTCATCTTCCAATATGGTAATGAATAAAATTATGTCATAGTTCATGGCTGATGATTTATTGGCTAATTTTAGGAAGTATGTTTTCAGGACTCTCCTCCTAGTTTTTTGTTTTTTGGGTTTTTTTAGAACCTCCATTAAAATCATTCTACCATGGGTGATTCTTTTTGTATTTGAGATACTGGTGGCATAGCTTCTAGTAGCATACAAACTACCACAAGATAAATTAGATTGGTGGTAGTTGTTGTGTACTATCGAGTCAGAAGCAGCCTATATAGCTGATCCTCTAGTGTGTTTTCAGAAGCAGTAAATTGAATGGGAGGAGATTGCCCATCGCTTTTTGGTGGAGCTGCTGGCTTTGAACCATATACCTTTGCATTAGCAGCACAGTTCCTTAACACTAAGATACCAGAGCTTGTTAGTAGAGACAGATTATTCCGGAATTACATATAAGGTGAAATAAGTAGTTAAGTAGTACACAAAGTATCCCCTTGAAGAGATACTATGTGACTTTAGGTGTTTATAAGGAGCTCTGGTAGTAGTCCATAGCAAGTTGTGCTGCTAACCCAAAGGCAAAGCCTTTCCGGCACTTTGAATCCACCAGCAGCTCAGCAGAAGAAAGATGAGAAATCTCCCATTTAGAGCCTCTCGAAAACCTACATGGATGATCAGCTTTGAGTCAGCCATGTTCGAGGCCACTGAAAGAATTCTAGTGGCATAATATGTTACATGTTGTGATGCTGACCTAAGGCTTAGTGGTTCCACTCCATCAGCTGCTCAATGAGCAGCTCTTTCCAGAAAGATGTACAGACCTAGAAACCCATGGTCACTTGGAGTCAGAATCAGTGCAACATCAGTGGATTTATTGGTTTTAGAGGCTATGACATCTTCATTAAAAATGCTTGTATATTTGTGACATACATTTTTTAAAAATTCTTTTAAAAAAGAAGCTACATATAGAATTGAGCAACAAAATAATCTGACCATGAGAATGTATGAGTAGAAAAAGGAAATAAAGTAGTGAAAAGCAAAATTTTTTTATATATTTATATAAAAACGTCATCTTTTACTATGGAAACTGTTTTTATAATAAATTTACTTTTTCCACTTTTTCGATATTAACCCAAAGCATATAGATCTTGGAAATTTGTAAGATAAAACTTTATTTTAAAATAGATAGATACTCTTCTCTCTGGCCTGGCCTGTAATGTCTCTGTTTGTAATGTGTTTTCTTTCCTTCTCTTCAGTTGGTACAAACAAAGAGACTAATATGCAGAAGAAAGCCATACTACATTTTTGAGTACTTACAGCTCAGCCTTGAAGAGGTATGTGCTCATCATGATAACATTTCAGGTCTGCAGACCCTCATAGTCATTTCCCTAAGCCTGGGCAGTACCACGTAGATGGGCCCACCTCACCATGCAGTTTTGAGAAATGCAGTACTGAAATTACCAAGATAGGCCTGCCTGAATTTCAGACCCCAATCTTTATTTTTCTAATTCTAAGATTTCACTTAGTGTTCCAGAAATTGAGCTATTTCCTAATATCATTCCATACAGGATTTAAGGGGTTCATCTAAGCACTCTTTATATCATGATTTGCCATTGATTATTTATTGTTTTTATGAGTCAGAACCAACTCAACAACACCTAAAAACAATGGACGTGTTTTTGTTTCATCAGTCTCATTGACAGATAACTAATTTAAATGATACATTTCAATAGTTTCATCATCCATTAACTAGCTATGATACATGATTCAAACCATGTCTTAATGTGTTGTTAGGTGTTCGCAGTTCTAAGTACAACACAGCAAACGCTTTGCCCAATCCTGCACCATCCTAACAATCTCTCCTGTGCTTTAAGCTATTACTACTGTCGCTGTCAGTCCGTATTATTGAGATTCTTACCATCCTTTCTTAACCCTCTACCTTTCCAAGCATGACATCCTATTGTTGTTGTGTGCCCTTGAGTTGGAACTGACCCATAGCTGACCCTCCAGTGGGTTTGCAGAGGCAGTAAATCATTTGAGAGGAAATTGTCCATCCTTCTCCTGTGCAGCAGCTGGTAGATTCAGACGGAGTGCTTTTGGGATTACAGCACAGCTTCTACCACTAGACCATCAGAGCTCCTTATGATGTGGTGGTGGTGGTGTTGTGTAGTGTTGGACCCAATCCGTAGCTGAGCCTCCAGCAAGTTTTCAGAAGCAGTTAATCACATGGGAGGAGATTGTCCATCCTATCCTGCGGAGCATCTGGTGGCCTCAGACCATGTACCTTCGGCATTGTAGCACAGCTTCTTGCCACTAGTTCACCAAGCTCCTGCTAATTTCTAAGTATACTCCCTTAACACAGTCACTGCATACTTTTATGTTGATTAAATGTGTTTTTTTAAAAAAAAAACACATTAAGGTTGCTTAGTGGAGTGTACTTGGGGCAAGACAGGGGAATTGTATACCAATGAAGGAATTTTTCTTTTACTTTTCAAAGAGAAGAGCAAACTGGGGGAATGGGGAGCGGCAGGGAGAAAAGGGCAACAATCAATGAATGGAAATCCAAAATATCTGTAAATGTTCATTAAAATTAATAAAATAAAATTTATTTTAAAAAAACCAAAAATTCATGAAAAGAAAAAAAAACCCACATTATATTTCCCCTCTGATTTGGAATTCCTCTAGCCTATAGTAATAGTTTATAGTCTTTCTTCTCCTCCCTTTTCTGCCCCCACCCTTCTGGGGGCTACAAATGGTTAAACACTTTAGTTAAGCACTAAGTAAATGGTTAGTGGGTGAAACCCACCCAGAGTTGCTTCAAAAGAAAGGCCTGGTGATCTAATTCCAAAAAATTCATTCTTACAGAGAAGTACATGTTTTGTAATGGTAGAAGGACATTGATCAATTTCTGAAGACCTTGTGTCCCGTAGACACCAGGAAGAGCTAAACTTCCCCAGGATACAGTAGCTAAATGGTTACTAGAAAGACAGGGAAACTAAAGTTAATTGAACAGCTAAGTGCTTTGCCTAACTGATCTCATAAAATCTTTAAAGTAACTCCAAAGGAATGGCCATCCTCATTTTATACAAGAGACATATACTTGTATTAATTTCTAAGAACCTCACTAATAATGGGTGAGACATTTAGTGTTAGATTTCTTGCCTTCCATGTGGGAGACCTGGGTTCACTTCCCAGTGAGGACATCTTATGAGAAGCCACCATCTGTCAGTAAAGATTCTTATGTTACCATGTTGCAAAAGATGTGGTGGCACAATGTCTAAGCATTCAGCTGCTGTCAGAAAGGCAGCAATTTGAACCCCTCCAGTGCATGAGGGAGAAATGACCCAACTGCTGATCCCACCAGGATCGCAGCCTAGGCAACTCTGTAGGAAACAGTCACTATGGTTGGGATCAGCTCAACAGCATACACAATAATGTGAAAACATTTAACAGAACCTTGAGACTTAAGGTATATTAGAGGGGAAGATCTTTCAAAATTCCCAGGGGAAACCCTGTAGATAACAAAGTTCTAATCTGCAACTTTTCTTTCTTTCTTTTTTTTTTTTTTTAGTTATTATTAAATTTTATTAGTTTTAGTGAACATTTACAGAGATTTTGGGTTTTCATTCATTCATTGTTGCACTGTTTTCTCTACCCTCCTCCCCAGTTTGTTCTTCTTTCCCCCCACCCGAATG